GTAGTGTTCCAAGCCAATCCAAACCGCACCACCAGTCCTCCTCACCGGAACACCGTACACGAAACCGCTCCGTGACGGACTCTAAACAGGGCTCCAAGGCAAACAGTGTGTCCAAAGGGCGGACACAGAGTTCTCGAACAGGTCTGTTACAGAGAGGCCGGCTGTAAACGTTTTCTCTTTTTATGACCTAGTGCCCAGTCATTTCCTTTTATCCGTGGGTGGTTAGTTCCGGCAGCACATACGAGCTGTATGCTGCGATGGGGGTGTCCGACTGATTTTAAAAGTACATCTGCAGCATACAAGAACGGGTAAAATTTTCATGTTCTTGTTACTGTAACCATCAACTCGAATCTCTATGGCTATGATTGCGACTAGGTGGCGACGGTTGTACTTCAAATTTTTCAGTAGAGGAGGCTTAATGAAAAAAAATTTGCGATAGGAAAAGTAAATCGTGAGTGTAGCCGCGCTATGAAGCCATTAGCCGGATTTGCAACCCGGTTGAATTCAGGGGTTTCAAATTGAAACGTTTAGAATTATTTTTTGGTAGTCATCAGTTGCGGAAAAGTCCACTGTGCGTTAGAAACGAAAAAGCAATAGGTCAGGAAACCGATGACTACAACGGCTTCAACGCCGGAGTTTTAGGATGACAACACACGATGTGCAGTCCACTAAACAAAACAAGGATAAAACCTTCCTTTTTACGAAGCCAAAATTCTCGCGAGGAGTGTCCGCCACACGATACGCACGGGGCCTGGTCAAAGCTTCTCCTGAATGAAGTTCTTCTTCAAGATGGCTTCCTCCTTCCTTATTCAACCCTAATTCTCCGCCTAATCGGATAAGTCAGTTAGATGGTTACACCGCGATTAGAAAAATCGTGGCTAAGGATGGAGTATTAGTATCACTGAATCCTGTAATACTGGAAAGATAGTTTTGCCGAAAATATGTCATTGGATGTAGAGATAGCAAATAAAATAACTTATTATCCACTAGTAACCGGTAGTTACAACTAATGAAAAGAAATCTACTGATGGTACACAGATGCATATATATTGTCACAAATTCTGACGTCTGGTTCATGTTCATATGTTTTCCCCTGTGAATATGCTACCTTTACATGCGAAAGGAAAAACTAGCATTTTACCATCGTTCCCGTATAACAGAAGTCTGAGGCTATGCTATACTTCGGTGATGTCTTTAAACTATTATTTCCTAATTGTGAACAAAAATACCAAATATTGATCTCGCCAGTTCCAACAGAAATAACGAAATCATAATCACTAACAACTTGAGCCTACTTGTCTGGCTACAATCGCGCGGAATACTAACATCATTGACGAGTAAAGATAAAAAGATAAGATAAAAAGAAACGTTTAAAATAATCTTTGAGTACTTTCTAGTTACAAAAAACAATGTGCTGGATAAACAGAAAAGAAATAGCTCGGGAAACAAATGAACACATAGGCCCCAGCATCCGTGTTTAAAAATGCTGAATTTCAACAAGAGAACCACTCCGTTTAACTAGGCCGAAATCCTCCCGAGAAATGTCCGCCACACGATTCGTTCGGTGTCACGCTTCTCCTCAAAGCAGTTCATCATTTAGCACGATGGCTACCTCCGCTCGAGTAAATAACTAAGTCAGGCGGTTCTAGCAAAAGCAAAATAACTTTGAACCGAAATACCACATATTTACCCCGCAGTCCCATCAGAAATTCCAAAGTCACGATCACTAACAACGTGGGTCTGCCTACTAGGCTATTTTTGCACCAAATACAAATAAACTTGAAGAATGACAAAACTGCTAATGCCACTACCAATGCGACCAAATTGCAATTATATACTAGAAGCAATAAACCACATATGATTCTGCAGCTTCTCTTCGAAAGTTACTCAAAAATGTGTGCTGGATATGTTTGATGTTCTTATCATCAGAGGCTCACCTCTTTCTTCTCTTTCTTCACAAATAATTTATGAAAATCAGCAGCTCGCATTTTGCGAAAATGCCAACGTTTGAAAAGACAGCTGTTCAGTTCAGCATCCTCATCAATAATTTACGTTTTTTTCTAAGCGAATGAGAGTAAAATAAAAGGGGGACGACTGGCGTTTCTATCGCGTCACCTTCTACCAATATGTCGCCTCGACTAGTCCCGGGGGAGGGATTAAATTTTTTGCTTTAAAACATCCCCGCCCGATACGCCTCATCGCTCGCTCATAACGCTTTGTGTCCTAGCCTGGTTAAGACGAACAGCGTATTCAACTAGGACCCGTGGATGGAGGAAATTGATTTGACTACTCTCGCGAGGTGATGTTACTGTATGCAATTGTTTGAGTGGACCTTCATTCACAGCATTTAAGTGGGGCTAGAAGATTATACAAATGACAGGATTGCTTATCGACAATGCGGGTACTCACCATATGTCTTTAGAACCTGTAAAGTGAGGGGAATCATCACAAAGTAGAGCTTCGGTAGTAAATAACTGCTATTATAACTTAGCTGGTCTCCTCTTTATTTATCTGAAGCAATCCTCTACCAGCAAATTTATTCAATTAATTTGGCTTTTCATGATTTATATTACAGACCTATGGCCTCATTACGGTCCGCCACTCACCTACGTGCCTGTTGTCGCGATTGAGTCTGTACATGCTCGACCCGTTGTCATTCTCGGCGACCTCAAAGAGTCCCTTACAGATGACCTCCTCTCCGATTTCCCCGGTCGTTTTGGAACCTGCGTCCCATGTGAGCTTCGCTTTCTTAGCTTATACCGTCTGCCTTGAATTACAGCTAACTGTTCTTCTCCCAGGCTCCTTACCATCAATCATTTAGGTTGAACTGTTCGCCCGACTAGAGGTAGCATGATAAGTTAACATTTACTCTACCTTCTAATCCATTCGGTTGTAGTACACTTGTGGAACGGAGGCCGAGCTTGCTAGTGTTTTACTAAGACAAGGAAAATTTCTATACGCCAACGTATGCACCTTTTCGCCCCATTAAACATTTGTCCATACAGCCATAGCTTGTTTTTTTCCGCTGTTCAGAAAAGCCCAATGGTTGAGAGTCCATTAAATCTTGAAAGACCCATTGTACAGCGTCCTCGGAATAAAACTTTCTTCCCATGAAATTCTTGTCCGAATTCCAGAAGACGTGGTAGTCAATTGGGGCAACATCTGTCGCGGATGATGGATGATTCCAAATGTCACTGTCATTTTTGCGGTTTGCGGTTGAGCATTGCCGTGAAATAGAAGTGGACAGGTTGGCTTAGTCTGGTTATTTTTCGTAACTGTTTTGGATAATTTTATTTGGCTGGTTTCAATATACTTCTGCTATGATGGATGAGCTTGCTTGTTGCGAAATTTTAATGAATTATATGTGCGCCAGTCCACAAAACAACTGCTACTAATGTTTATTTGATAAATGCTGCGCTTTTAGTTGTGTTTCGGTAAGGCTGTCTGGTTTAACCACCGTATGGAACGTTCACAATTTACCTATTCCATCCATTTTTCGTCAAACGTTCTAGTACGTTCCCTATCTCATGAAATGTCGATCGAAATTCCGCAATGTGTTTTCGACTCGAACATTTCACATAACTAAAGCCGAAATACCGATTACCGTGCAACGGAATCCGGATATAATTCCGTCATGGCAGGATGCCGGCTTTAGAACGGGCGTCTTGTTAAATGTCTGGAAGAATAGTATTTCTTACAAAATGGCTACTAAAGTAGTGGGCATTTTTTAAATTTTTTCAATGTCTCTGTAAATTTAATTACATGGCATAGAAAACCTGCATCAAAATATGCGGTCTTGTTTTTATTTGGCAGTAAGGTACGCCTTCTTTACATTTTATACTTTAAGAAAGGGTATCCATCGAGTTTAAGGAAGTTTGCACCTATGAGATTGTTGAAGACCGTGAAATGTTCATTCATAAAACGTTGCATGCTGCTTAGAAAGTATACAATAATATCCATCTCAGTTGCAAAATTGTAAAAGCCCTTTACCTTAAAGCGAGAAGAAATGTTTGAGTATCCCTGGTTAGAATGTATGAAACATTCAGTTCGAAAACCTTGAACTCAAACTCAACCACTCGAAAGGTCTAAAATCATTCAGG